TTCGGGTTTGGGGTTTGGGGTTTGGGGTTTCGGGTTTGGGGTTTGGGGTTTGGGGTTTGGGGTTTAGGGTTTGGGGGGTTTGGGGTTCAAAGCTTACGCCACGGTGGATAGTAAAAACTCCTGCATGACACTAAGTACCTTATACCCTGAGAACGTGTTTTCCATGAGTTCATGCTATGGGCTTAGGATTTATGACTCCGGCAAATGCTTACTATTACTTCATTGATCTTAATTGAAAGAACATCCCATTCCCTCTCAAAAAGCCGAGGGATTCTGCGGAATAGCACGGCACGCCCAAAGATGGCATTTTTCTGTGTTCAATCTTGCTAAATATCCTTGGAAAGGCTCAATATCCTTGAAAGGCCCACAGTGGAGAGTTGAGATTCGACCTATGGAACTGGGCTTCAGCAGCTGCTGTGGTCTTGCTGATAGCTACCTTCGGCTCCCTTTACGCGCGGATACCGCGGGCTGAACTTGAATAGGAGCAGCCTCCAGAATGCTCCAAAGACTCGAGCGAGGCTGACTCTACCGACTCCACTCAGGGAGTGTGACGAATGCATATGACTAATGTTGCCATTTTTATGGTTATCACTACTAGGTACTATCATTAGTAATTGTCAGCGCTGTAAAAATCGCTGTTGAGAACACATTTCACTGCAGTCTCTGTAACTTGTGCTTTCTCAATATCACCCCCTGCCCTGCTGAAAGACAAGCTGGTTTCTGCAATTTTGTAAGTTGTAATTTGATGTGCTTCAGCCCGCTGCTGAGCAACCCCCACGGTACAGCTGAAAGGGGTGTTGACATGTCAGGGGGATTTCTGGAAGGCAGTTGCAGACATGAGAGTGTTTGCTGTTGTCGGCCTGGTGTATTCCATGGCATGTAAAGCTTCATTGTCTCTGTGGCAGAGTCCACAACAAGTCAATCAAACACCGCAGTTGCACGCTGACAAGGGGAAGCTATATATGCTGCTCCCATGCGAGAGGAAATTGTTTTGCCTGATACAGCTGGCAGCGAAGAACAATGTGTCCGCAAGTTGACACAATGTGGTTCCAGCGCATGCCACACACCTCGTTTCCACAATGAAGGTTTTCACATCTTGCTGGTATAAACTGTAGTTCTGTTGAAAGCTTGGAGCTGGTAACTTCAGTAAGATAAATCAGGGATCTGGGATACAGTCTACGAAAGTGGCCATTCCACGACCATGATGCTGCAGGACAGCGGCGATGGCGTGTCCCACACTGTGCCCATCTACGAGGGCTACTCGTTGCCTCATGCAATCCTCCGACTGGATTTGGCTGGCCGCGACCTGACGGAGTACATGATGAAGATCCTGACCGAGCGCGGCTACGCCTTCACATCCTCAGCAGAGCGTGAGATCGTCAAAGACATGAAGGAGAAGCTGTGCTACATCGCGCTGGACTTCGACAGCGAGATGAAGGCGGCCAGCGAGAGCAGCGACAAGGAGAAGACCTACGAGCTGCCCGACGGAAACATCGTCACCGTGGGCTCGGAGCGATTCCGATGTCCGGAGGTCCTCTTCCAGCCTGGCCTGCTGGGCAAGGAGGCCAGCGGTATCCACGACACCACCTTCCAGTCCATCATGAGGTGCGACGTAGACATCCGCAAGGATCTCTACTCCAACGTGGTGCTGTCTGGTGGCACCACCATGTTCCAGGGCATCGGCGAGCGCATGACCAAGGAGCTGACTGCACTGGCGCCTTCCACCATCAGAATTAAGGTGGTGGTTCCCCCGGAGCGTAAGTACAGCGTGTGGATCGGAGGCTCCATCTTGTCCTCCCTGAGCACCTTCCAGCAGATGTGGATCTCCAAGAGCGAGTACGATGAGAGCGGCCCGACCATCGTGCACCGCAAGTGCTTCTGAGAGCGTAGCATTTGGGCAGCTGCACAGCCAAGCCAAGCCGGACATGTTGAAGAGGGTCAAACCCTCATGTTCATGTCTCAAGCACACACTTGTGTAGCTGTAGCCATTTTTACTGGGCTACCACGATTTTGTGTGATCCTGTCAACAGCCGATAGGTCACTGCCGCACTGGCCTGTTCCGCACCTTTGCAGAACTTGATGTGCCTTTCATGTAAGGTGTTGTGGCCTTCCTGTACAGAAATTGCCTTGGCATAACCCATACAAGTGAAGATGTTGAGCAAGCATGAAACGGAGCCAAGGGAAGCAGCCCGGTGAGCACTCTTCCCATGTGGGTTGTCCAGGCTTGGGCTTTTGTAAGGAAATGAGAGGTGCAACCCGCCTGAACGGCCCTCTCCCAACAGGGATGTTCCAAAGACCCTGAAATCATCCCTCAAGTAGATAGAATAAGGGGTAAATGGGGATCTTATCTGATAATCTTGGGGAAATCCATATTCTATCGGGCACTATAGCCGCATGCAAGACCTATGCCCTTTCTAGAATCAAGCATTGAAAAGTCTCAAGTCCTATTTTTCGACTACTACACTCTCATCCCATCACCTAAGCTTGTCGTGGCATCCCTAGGGGCCAATGAAAAGTCTTCAGGAACCCAAACTGTGCACTCCTACAGTGAAGGGCCCACACAACTAAATGAGGGTTTGGGCATACTGTATGACAATCAGATGCATTTCTGAGGGGAGCGTATGCCTGATCTTTCACGCCTCTCGGCACATTTGAGGTATGGGAGTTTTTCAAAACTATCACTCCACAATCCTCAAAACATATTTCGATAATCAACATTTAATCCCTTCACATCCTTCGAGTTCTTTGGCGCCCCTGTTGCGAGAACCCTAAACCCTAAAGATCAAGCATCCTCTGCAGTGGGCAGCTCAAGTAGTGAGACGTCCAGCTCTCTTCCCGTCCTTGCAAGCAGCCATGGGTGACGAGGAGGCATCTGACAAAACCTCTGCAAATGGGGGCTGTTAGTGTTCAAGGGACGCAGGGTTCCTGGTTTCAACAGCCTGAAAGGGGGTTATATAGGGTATTATATAGGGGGACTACTATAGGGGTTATTAAGGGGCTTACTAGGAGTTTAGACGATGGCTCATATAGGGATTACGAAGGGATTATATTCCCTCATTCCCTACTCAGAACCAGCAAGATTAATGACCTAGTTCCTAGTTGATACATTCCTTTCTTAGGGGCCCCAATTTGGACACCCCAAATTCTATAGTCCTTATTAATCCGAGCACTTGTTTAATTTGGGGGACCCCCTCCCGCCAGAATAAGGAATGGAGGGCGACAGATTAACAGAATGATTGGGGCTCCTGGAACTCAATTAAGAAAGAATAGGAATGCATTCCTGCGTCATTGGGGCTCTTGGAGCTCTATTAAAAACCACGGAATGTATTGAAGATCTCTATTTTCAGGATTGGTTCCCCAAAAGATTTTAAATGTAGTCCCTTATCCCCATGCGAAAAGCCACCTACTTGTAGCTAGTCTTTGGACGCGAACTTTACACCAAAAAAAAGTCTTCAAATGTGGACCCTTTCATAAAACAAGTGCTCGGAATATGGGGACCCCCCCAAAAAGTACCTATAATTTTGGCAAGCCCCGGTTATTTCAGCTCGGGATCTCCACCACGGAGCCTCAACCCTAAACCCTAAATCCTAAACCCTCGAACCCTGAACCCTAAATCCTAGTAACTAATCGGGAGTAGCAGTGGAGTTTCCTCATGACCCTGGGCTTTCCTGCTTTGCCTTCCATCTATGTCATGGGGCCCCAAAGTAGGGGTACCCCTTTTGGGGGTCCCCATAGTAAGGATGATAGTATATTGGGGTCTACATTGGAGTCCCATTATTTTGGGAAAGTCTCATATGTTTTACATATATACATAGACCGTATAAAGAACATAGTCTAGATGGTTTTCATGCAGTATAAAACACAATACCTTATGCTCTTTCTTGATTGGATTCACTCAATAGTCGGTGCTCTCGCGTTTTTGTCGAATCAAGCGCACTTTTGCAAGCGTATCAACAGCTAGATGCGAAGTCAAGCACAATCTCACACTACCAGCACTATTGCTTTTTTTTTGAGAACAGGGAAGGCTAGAAGGCATAGCAAGAGCTGGAATCACGGCAGCCGAAGTCCTGTGCCAGCAGTCTCAACAAGCAACGACAACATAATTCAACCCCGAATCACAGTTATACAGCAATAATAGCATCCACAGAATACCAATCCAAGCCCATGACTTGCTGGTCAGGTTGCCGCGTTGGTGGTGGACAACGGCAGCGGCATGTGCAAGGCCGGCTTCGCGGGCGACGACGCTCCGCGCGCGGTCTTCCCCTCCATCGTGGGCCGCCCCAAGATGCCGGGCATCATGGTGGGCATGGACCAGAAGGACCTTACTGCAACAGAGGGTGCAGGATTCAGAGAGGAGTAGGCATGGCCGGTAATTTGCTGCGCCTACGTCACTTAACCACATGGGTCAGGTAGCCTCTGTCAATTGTGATTCAAAATCGGAAGTTAAGCTGTGGGACGTGTTGCGTCTCATCTTAAGCTAACCAGCATATGCGAGTCTCTCCGCCCGTATAATCTTATGTATCATGTACCCCTATGGCTATGGGAGCCTCCCACCCGAACTTCTACAGCCCCCACCCTCCTGGTCTGCAAAACTTATCTATCATGAACCTTCAGTTCTGACTCTATGAGCCCCATAGACCCTCACCAGCCTTGCAGGCTATTTTCCATACAGTGACGAATCTGAGACCCATCCTACAGCCCCTAGTCTGAAACACCAAAACCTAGACATGCTATTTCTGTCCTGAATTCTAGCCCTCTGCCCGGGCCCCCAAATCTGAGCCAGGGTGCCCCTGTTTGGAGAAACTCCCATATGAGCTATAGTCTAAAGTCCTAATATCCCCCTTGATGACATGAGCTGTTGTCTTAACTCCTTCAAGGGGGTTATATAGAGGACCATTGTAGAGCTTATTAAGGGGGATACTAGGAGTTTAGATCAGAGCTCATATAGTCCCAATATACTACAGTAGTTTCCATTTCTTTTCCATTATTCGTATATAGCCGCAATATACTATGGTGGTTTCCATATGATATGCATGACATGAGAAGAGGACTCCTATGTTGGCGACGAGGCCCAGTCGAAGCGAGGTGTGCCGCTGCTGCTGCATTGTGGGATGAATAGCGCTACTATTTGTGTTATTGTTATTGCACCACTAATTTTTGTACTAGCATGCCCATTGTGCTAGCACTTTCTTACTATATTTATTGCTACTACTGTTATTGCTATTATACCATTATTACTACTATTGTTATGCCTTCGGATATAATTGTGAATCCGAACTGGAAATCATATACTGACCTCTAAGTTTTGGTGTGGCCCTGGTGTGTTGTTTGTTGGATCATCGTGAAGAGTGACGGATCACGATCCTGCTTAGGTTCTAAGCGCCCATGAGGTGCCGGCTAGGGAAACCTAGCTGACCAGGTTTCGCGAAAGCTCGCCAAGCAATGACTCATTGCAACGTATTGAATGAATGAAGAGGCCTTCGGATTTAGATAGGGGTGGGTTTAGGGAGATTCGTTGGGGTTAAGGGAATCCTACCTTTGGCGTGTATGTTGGAGTGATCTTGCTTTTCTGGAAAAAGCTGCAGTAGCCACGTTGCAATTAGCACGTTGCAATTTTGTGGTATAGTAGTATATGACTCTATGCCTTAGTCCTTTGGGGATGGCGTATCGCGCGTCGTGCGTTCTTTTTTTCTATTTCAGCTGTTCGGACGAGGCAGTGGCTGCTAATTTTTTGCGAAATTGTGACAATGCCATCGGAACTTTGGATTTCATGACCACTCAATCATGGCTTGTGACCCTCATCCTCCTGCTGCTGCTACTGCTGCTGTTATGGAGACGTGTTATTTCCGCCAGCACCATGGTCACCACAACCGCTCTGTGTATTTCTACATGCCGGCTATGGCCAGAGCCATACTTTCACTACTCCCTTCTTTTACTTCTGGCTCCTATCAATACCGATGTAATGATGACTTCTTCTACCTTTACTTGTGCTCCTATTACTACCGTGGTTGCCACTGCCACCACTGCTGCTGCTGCTGACTGCTACTGCTACTGCTACTGCTACTGCTACTGCTACTGCTGCTGCAGCGACGACGACGACTACTACTACAACTACGTTATTCCGTGCTGCTGGTGCTGCTACAACAACAGCAGCAACTCCTACACTTCCTATTCCCATTCCTACTCCGACTCCTACTGCGGCTGTTGCTACTACTGCTACTGCTGCTGCCAGTTACGTTCTTTACTTATGGCAATATTTTCGCTGCCGTGAAGATTTGCTGTGCTTGATGCAACAATCATGTCCATGCTAATGAGCAAGGTCCTGCTATGATTCATCATTGCACGTGTGCTAGTCAGCGAGAAGTCCTTCCAGTAGCAAGCCGAAGATAAGCCGCAGAAGCAGGTGTCCTCACTCTGAAGTACCCCATCGAACACGGCATTGTTACCAACTGGGATGACATGGAGCCTCGGTGAGCAGTCCAGGTTCGAGCAACGTCCTATTTAGTTCAATCGGGTGACGATCAGCACCTTCAACACTCCACCTCCACAAGGTTTTTGCTTGGCGTGCCTGAGAGAAGATTTGGGGGCAATCACTTTTGCAGCATGATGCAGTCCCGATTATACAGTTGCTCCAGAACAGTCGCTGGTTAGTGTCTCACAGTAGGGTGTTGCCACAGTGGTCATGTTACCAGCGCATGCTACAGCGCCTTGCCTGAAAATGGCTGGCAGTAGCCTGCAGAATACAGGTGGTGGTGTCATGGCAACATACCAACCGCATAGTGGAGTTACCGCTAGCACAGGATCGTGATTGTTTATAGCTACCACCCTTGCTTATTGCACTCCTGAATCAGGAAATCTGTCACCCTTCGATCGCAGCAGAACTGCGCATACCCGGAACAGGCCTCACACAACTGCTAAGACACCCCTGTGATCATCAATACCCCCCAAGTCGTGAGTATGTAACTCGTGTATAGTGCCGACTGGATCCCCAGGAGAAGATCTGGCACCACACTTTCTACAACGAGCTGCGCGTCGCCCCAGAGGAACATCCTGTTCTGTTGACAGAGGCCCCACTGAACCCCAAGGCAGGGGACTGTCTTTTTGGGGGTTTTGGGGCAGGATTTAGAGAAAGGTTCGCCGCGTGTGGTGCATTTTGAGAGCCTTAGCACAACGATAACAGTTATCAATGTTGGATTCATGTGGGGACTTTCACAAGCTTAGGGGATCTTTTCTGGGGATCCTTACTAGACTTCGTATTTGGGGTCATATCGGGGTCCCCTTATTCAGGGAAATTGCCATTAAACTGAGCAAAGAGTAGGGTAATCACTGTCGTGACGCCCGGGAAAACACTGAGTAGCTGTTGTAACGATAGGGTCAGTCCTCAACAGAACCACCAGGTGCAATTTCAACAACATGCTAGAATTAAGTATTGATAGTAGTAAAAGTCGTAATACTAATAATTGTATTAACAGTAGTAGCAGTAATGATAAGTAATGATAGTAATGATAGTACGGTCCCTCCCGTTTCGTTGCCAGCATGTTGTCCTAAAGCACTTTTCCCCATCTCACGAGCAGTTCTCTAGGCAACCTCTCACATTGTGTGGCATGAGGCCAACCGCGAGCGTATGACGCAGATCATGTTCGAGACCTTCAACGCTGCCCTGCAGCCATAGTGTAAGGGATTTTAGTTTTGGGTTTAGGGTCTTATCCGTGTCGTTCGTGGATCAACACGTTCGTTTAGAGTTGATAGAGGGGCCTTCAGCTGCGGCACGCGTGGCTTTTGGAGGGACTTAAGGGATTCCCAGTCGCATAAGGCCTGAGGGTTTTGAGGTTTTGCAACTTTTTTTTTCTGCCTTGCCCCAGGCTTGGAGTTTCTACTCGTCTTTGAGCTAGATCATAAGCTCACAACCAAGGTCTGAGCCCCGAAGTCACAGAAGCAGCGAGGAGCCTGAAACTGAAAACCCGAGTCGGAAATCTCCTGAGGCTCAAAACTAGGTGGACCTTTACTAGACTTTTGCACCACGTACCTTGTGTGAGTTTCCTGTTTCATTTTAGGGGAGCTAAAGTCAAACTTTTAGTGGGGAATTACAGAGCAATCGAGAATGTTTCAGACATTGTTCATCGCGAGGCCCAATCTTTGACATTGATCGCTGCAAGCAGTAAACACAACAAGAAAATGATAGCAAGCTCCTCACATTGCTCCTCCTACTGCTCCTGAGACTCGGGCAATTGCCACCGCTACCGCTACCACTGCCACTGCTCCTGCTGTGTCTTCGTCTACCACTAGAACTACTACTGCTCCTTCTGGTCCTGGTGCTGCTGCTGTTGCTGATGCTGGTGGTGCCGGTCCTGGTGGTGCTGGTGCGGGGCGGGTGTTGGTGCTGGTGCTGGTGCTGCTGCTGCTGCCGCTGGTGCTGCTGGTGGTGCTGCTGCTGCTGCTGCTGCTTTTGCAATTACGGTACTATTCCTGAGAATCAATTTCTGGAGTTGTAGTGGCCGCACAGAAGCAACGAGACTGCCAATGAGACTGAGGTACCGGCCATGTACGTAGCCATCCAGGCCGTTCTGTCCCTCTACGCCTCCGGGCGAACCACCGGCATTGTCATGGACCATGCTGCTCTTGGGCTTTGGGGGTTTATGGCTTGGTTTGGGGCCTGGACCTTGTAAGAAAAAGAAGGTACAGGGAAGAGGGGAAGATGGGGTTAGAGGGGTTGAGGATTTGAGGACCAGGGGTGAATGGGATTTCGGGTCGCGAACCAGGTTGCTTGTGTTACTGTTGCACTCGAGAGCTCTGCGTTCCTGGATTTCAAGCTGTACATGTTTGATCTTCAATCTACAACTCAGGTCTTCAAGCTGAAGTGAGTGTAAGTGTGCTCTGGCTCTGGTTTCCAGCTCATTTGTTGGGAATTATGTTGTGGGCACTCTGCCTTGCCTGGTTCTTGCAGGACAGCGGCGACGGCGTGTCGCACACCGTGCCCATCTACGAGGGCTACGCCCTGCCCCACGCCATCCTCCGACTGGACTTGGCCGGCCGTGACCTCACGGAGTACATGATGAAGATCCTGACCGAGCGCGGCTACTCCTTCACCACCACGGCGGAGCGTGAGATTGTCCGCGA